TCTCTTCCCCTAATAAATTGGATGCTACCTTATGGCATATGAGGTTAGGACACATTAATATCAAATGTATGGAAAGATTAAAAAGAGACGAGATTCTTCAAAATTATAAGGGATATTTATCAAAAATGCACGAGTCTTGTGTGCAAGGAAAATTAATAAGAAAAAATACCACCAGGGCAAAAAGAGCTACTAACGTATTAGAAATCATTCATAGTGACATATGCGGACCTATAAATGTGACCACCACAAATGGAAAAAGATATTTTATCTCTTTTATAGATGATCACTCGCGATATGGCCATGTGTACCTCATTCATGTAAAATCAGAAGCCCTAAAAAGATTCAAAGAATATAAGGCCCAGGTATAAAATCAAACCAACCTAAAAATTAAAGTCCTTAGAACCGATAGAGGGAGGAAGTATTCATCTGACATTTTCAAAGAATTGTGCATTGAAAATGGGATCATCCATCAGTACACCATGCCTTATACTTCTGAACAAAATGGTGTAGCTGAGAGAAAGAATAAGACTTTAGTGGAAATGGTAAGGAGTATGATGGGGCATGAAAATCTCTCATTGGAGTTTTGGGGAGAAACCATATTAACAGCATGTTACATCCTTAACCGAACTCCCACAAAAGCTGCTCCACTTATTCCTCACGAAATTTTCACAGATCGTACTCCCTCCCTTGAACACTTGAGAGTTTGGGGTTGCTCAGCCTATGTCCTTATCCCATATCAAAATAGAACCAAATTGCAACCCAAAACTGTCAAATCCATTTTCATTAGTTACCCAGTTCATGGTAAGGGATATCGATTCTACAACCTTGAAACATGTGTTGTTATTGACAGTCGCGATGCTCACTTCTTCGAGGAGGAGTTCCTTGAAGCAAGGGTGAGTAGAAAACAAGCCGACTTTTATGAGGTGACCAAAAACAATGATGTAGCTCGAAACCCTGAACTTGAAACTTCTAAACCAACCCAACCTAATCCTGAACTCCCTATAGAAAGTGAACCTTTACCTGAACCTAGACGAAGTAACCGAGTCAGTAGACCACCTCTTTACCTAGAACAATTTGTCTACCTTAAAGAACATTTTGATAAGGTTGGGGAAGATCCAAATTAGAACCTAGAATTCACTGTGAAGCCTTGATCTGTCCTAAAAGGGAATACTGGATAGAAACTATGAAAGATGAGTATGCTTCTATTAACCAAAACCATGTATGAGAATTAATACCTCTACCTCAAAAGCGTAATGTCATTAGTTGTAAATACATTTTCAAGAAAAAATTGAACTCTGAAAGGAAAATAGAAAAATACAAAGTTAGGTTGCTTGCAAAAGGTTTCACCTAAAGAGAAGGGATAGATTATGAGGAAACTTTTTCCCCTGTTACCAAATTTTCATCCATCCGAATCCTTATAGCTATAGCTGCCCATTTTGACTTTGAAGTTCATCAAATGGATGTCAAAACAGCCTTTTTAAATGAAGATTTAGAAGAAGAGATTTACATGACCCAACCTGAGGGATTTGAGGAGAAAGGGAAAGAGAACCTAAAATGCAAACTTAATAAATCCCTTTATGGCCTGAAGCAAACATCGCAACAGTGGTATATAAAATTCTAAAAGACCCTTGCTCTTGTAGGGTTCTCCACAGATAATGAGGATTACTGCATATATTAAAAAGTCAATGGGAGTGATGTGGTCTTTATATCGTTATATGTGAATGATATGCTAATTGTTAGTAGCTCAATTGCCCTAGTAGTAGAGATGAAAAATTTCCTTACGCAACACTTCGATATGAATGATCTTGGAGAAGCTTCATATGTGTTAGGCATTAAAATAATAAGAAACAGAAAAGAAAAGACTATCCAACTTTCCCAAGCAACCTACTGTAAGATGATACTGAAAAAGTTTGATATGAGTATGTATAAGCCCATGTCTACTCCAATTGACAAAAAGACGAAGTTTAGTAATAAGATGTATCCTACTGCAGACATGGATATAAGAGCCATGGAGAGAGTGTCATACAGGAGCACTGTTGGGTCCCTTAGGTATGTTATGACGGGAACAAGGCCTGACTTATCCTTCGTCATGAGTCTGGTAAGCTCTTTCCAAAGTAATCCAGGAGAGGAGCATTGGAAAGCTGTAAAAAAAATTCTTAGATATTTAAAAGGGATCATGAACTATGCGCTCACATATAAAGAGGGAACTGAAATAACTATAGAGGAATATTTAGATACAAGTTATCTCCTATATCCAGATAATGCGAAGTCTACATCTGCGGAGGTGTTTATGCTTGGAGGGGGTGTATTTTCTTGGAAGTCAAAAAAACAAGATATTGTGGCTTTGTCCACCATGAAATCCGAGTATGTGGCATACTGTCTAGCAGCCAAGAAGGCTGTGTGGATTAAAAAGTTTATTAATCAACTTAATTTTCATCCTGTACGTTGTGAGGTAATGTGAATTTTCAACGACAACACTGCGACTATTTGTATCTCTAAAGAGCCTCGGTTTCACAAGAACTCCCAGCATATTAAGCATTATTTTTATCACTTGAGAAATAAGGGAAGCTTAAAAGAGATCGTGATCAGCTATATATCTACAGATTTGATGGTTGCAAACCCTCTGACTAAAAGAGTTGTCCTAAATGTTTTTGTAATGCATGTAAGAAAGATCGGGATGAGAGAAAATGAAGAAGAGATAATATAAAGCCAAATGGGAATTGTTAGGTTTATGTGGCCTCTAAAAGCCTTATGAGTATGTATTGAAATACTTTTATTATAGTGAAATATAAACTCAATGGGAGTGTGGTCCCTCGAAGACCATACTAAAAAAATAATGTTTATTTATACCAGACTGTGCTTATCAATATAAACCAGTCGGTTAAAAAACCCAATATACCTGGGCATAAAGAATTAACCGAAGAATGTTTTGGATTAGCCCTTGATGAGATCGGAATTTATGCCTAGATGAGTGAGCCGAAGGACTGTGTGACCCTTGTGTGTGATGATAAGCCTACTAAGACGAGGGCCAAAACCTCATCCATGTTTCACCACATGACATGCATATCGATAGATCATTCGAAAAAACCAGATATCCACTTTTGGGTAAAGCGTATACATGTACGAGAAATACCCTTATACATCATAAAGCTGTGGTCGAATCAAGTCGTAGTGACCCGTCTCTAAGGGAGAACCTGTAATCCACAGACTGATATTGCGACCCCTTGATTTATCGACCTGACTTTAGAGACCTGCTAATGAACCCCTACTTGGACTGTAGGTCATGAAAAACACTAGATCGATTCGATAAAGCTAATATGATCTGTAGCTCACAGTTGAAGGTGGAGTACCCCATAATTACATATTAAAAATCTGAATTCTTAAAACCATATGGATCTTTTTCCCAACATATTAATTTAATTGTGTTCATTTTATTATTGAAATGATATTAATTTTATTATTTAAATTTTTATAAATCTCTCAATATTTTAATTATGACTTTTAGACATGATTTTTAGATTTATAAAAATACAGTTATTGTTTTCACAAAATTGTAAAAATTTAAATATATATTAATTCTTTTTAGTTAATTTTTAAAACTTTTTATAAAATTCTATGAGAACCCAAAGTGCATATGAGCCCACCGTGTGGCACCTGGGTGGAGGCCCACATGTACCACATAGAGGTGGCACGCCCCACCCTTTTGGATTCTTGCTTTTTGTTGCTTTGTGTTCAAAACTTTAAGATCTGGTAACTTTGATTTGTGGCATATGGTCAAATCTTAAAAAGCAAATATTGACCATGGCTTATTTTGTTTTATAACAAGTTTGTTTTAAAGAGATATGATCAATTTGAATAGATAGAAAAAATTGACCTTGTCTTATTTATATTTAATAGTACTTATTTCCTTGACAATTTTTGACATATTCTTATAGAATATGTGAAATGGATCATGCAATTTTATGAAATGCATGATATTTATTTTATTTAAATATATTTATAAAAAAATAATTTAAAAAAAAAGATATTAGTCCATACACCTTCTATAATGTTGATGGCCCAACTATGGAATAGATGGCTCAGATCTCTCACCCTACAAATCACCTTGATCAACAGTCTTGATTCAATCTCATGAAAGAGACAAACTATAAAAAAACCCTAAAAAACCTTGAACCTAAATATTCCCCATAAATAAAAATGCTCTCCCGCATCTCTACACAACCTCTCTCTCCTCTAATCACTCTCATTTCTCCCACCCAGAAGGGCACACCCCATTCTCTCTCCTCTGTATCTCTTTCTAACTTTCTCTCTCCAAAACCCTAAGTAGTTCTCTCTCTAAACCTAAAAAAAAACTAAGAGTTGGAAAAATTAGATGGAGCCTAAATTAATTTTGGAGGTTAAGGTTTAACAGAGATTTCAAAAGTAGTTACCTAATTTGGCCGAAATCAACCATCCCAGTTCAAGATTGAATCTAGACTGCAGATCCAGTGCCATTAGATGTGATGACTCGGTGTTGGATGTAAAAAGCTCGATTGAGATAATCTCTAATATCTTTTCTTTCATTTGTTTGTTTTTTATTTTATATTCTCAAGCACAGTATTAAATTGTATAAATGGCATCAAGTGGTTGAAGATTATTTTATTGATGTGCCTTTTAGTTGTGGAATATCTATTATATGTAATAAGGCCATCTGTGAGTGATCATATTGCCAAAAAATTAAAAGAGTGATTATTAAAAAAAAAAAAATTGTATTTCTTGACAAAAGATTACATATGTCTTTCTTTCAAGTCTTTAACCTTCTTAATAATTTTGAAGGGATTCTAGCCCCTTAGAAGCATTATATATATATATATATATATATATATATCATAATAAATAAATAAAAAAACACCAAGTGGTTCCTTACATCGTACTACAGGCCCACATATAGACAGAAAGAGAGGGGGAGAGAGAGAGGATAGAGAGGGGGAGCGGGGGATTTGGAGCTCCTTGCTCCAAAGTCCAAACCATACACAAATCTTTAATTAACGCAAGCGACCATAGAAGGTAAAGGACCATGAAAGATAAACATTATTGTTAAAGACATTCGACTCAAAACATATTTCTAATCTGCTGTTTGAATCTCCTGACGAATAAAAAACTTTAAAATGCACTTTATTTATTTTTTTGACAAGGGTTATCCCACCAACACATAAATTGCGTAGATAATACCCGGTATATAGCCCAATATCGTCAACAACAAATCGATCCAAAATTCCACCTGCAACCAATTCAATAATATAAAAAATCTAGAACTCCCTAAATAAAAATGAAGAAAATAAACAAACACACACATATATAAAGGAAAATTGTTTCTTCTATAATATGCCGTCCCAAGGTATAAAGCATCCATCTCAAAGATGGATGCAAATAGGTGATTCATCTAAAAAAAACCAACAGTCCAAATAAATTTTTAATAGAATTATTATTTTTAATTTTCAATTTTATTTTTTATTTTTTATATTCATGATCTCCATGTTAGAGACTACATGTCTTTAAAAATTAAGTCCAAAATCTATCTCAAAATAGATTTTTAAGAGGTAACTCATTTCTACATAGACTCGTAGAGTCTATATATAAATGTAAAAGTACGTAAAAAGACCAAATTTTTTTTAATACGAGAAAGTCACCATCATTTTCGTCAATCAAATATCAAACCACGGTGTTATAAGAGTGTCATTGAATCCTCTAAAGATAAAAAGAGTTCCTCGAACTTTGTGGTACAGCTGGAGCCATCCAATTTAACATTTAATGACTAAGAGTAATCATGATCTCTTTGTTATCCCTCTTTACTGATAAAGGACATTGTAGTATACAATCCAATAAATACATATATATAACTTCTTTTTTTTACTGGACTCAGTTGTTACAGAAAAAAAAATCTTTTTTTTTGGTTATTTGGCTAAAATAAGAAAAGAAGTGATACGTACCCCACATCCATATCGCAAAAAAACTCCGACAGGGGGAAGAAGAATGGCTAGGAGCACTTCTAGAAATGTTTCAGACCCCATTTTTACAGCAAATGTTTCTACTTAGAAGACGATGAAGAGGAGGTCTTTGTTCCTTGTCAAAAACAATAAGAGAGAGAGAGGAGCCTTCCCTTTGTTTAGAGAAGAGGCGAAGGACTTGATCCAAATTTGATAGTGAAAATATTTGATGGTTGTTGAAGTCATCATCGGAATTTCCGACGCAAGATAGACACGTGGGAGAAGACAATCACAAGTTGAGACACGTGGGCTTTGAGTTTGCTACGTAGCCATGCAGGGTGAAGAAAGCTTCCAGTCCTATCTTTAATGAAGGAAAAGAATGCGAAGCATCTCATCTACGATTTCCTTAGTTTCGTAAAAATTTCCTTTGTTTTTTATTCCATCGGAAAAATTGCTTCTTCTTTTTTTTAATTCTTTGGGTCTTACCATGTTTGAAAAATCAGCCGAGTCGGTTAATAAGGCTCGGGCTCTTGCGCAGCCTGAGTTGTCCTGTTTTGGAGGTCCAACTTGGAGATCTTAAAAAAAATTGAGAATATTATAAATTTTTGTCAACAAAAATGATATATATATAGAAAAGGTTTTGTGAACCAATGGGGTCACAAGAAAAAAATGAGCTTAATGGCTTAGATTGGATATGGGCCGATTTATCACAGATACCCATAGTGTTTGAATTTTAATTTGTTTTTCTACAAATTCAAATCACTTGAAATTTTAGACGTGTGTTGATAAAAAATAGGTGAATATTCAAAAAATATTTTACATGAAAACAATGATCAAAATACCCCCATAAATTTTAGGGGTATTTTGGTCATTTTAATTTTATGGATTATGTTTTTTATATTTTTATTATGTGCGGATTGATGAAAAAAATATTCACCTAAAATTTCAAGTGATTTGGATTTGTAGAAAAAAAGTTAAAATTCAAACACTCTTGCTCATCAGATCGGCCTAGATTCAATATGGATCAGTGGGCTTATACTATTATGTGAGCTAGTGGGCT